TGACATTGGTGCATGTCAGATGATCCACAACGGAAAATTCGGCCAGTCATCTGAAGTAAATGCCGGAATAAGATAAAGCTACTCACCACCACCGATGATATTCCTCGTCGTGCGAAGCAAGAAGACAGGAATGCTTTGACAAATAAGAAGCTCCTAAGAGATTTGGGCTTCGCAGACGATTTATTTTTAATGTCAAGCAAACCTGAAAAATAACAGGCAGAAACCAGTAGAAGCCGCTGACAGTCAAGAAGCGACTTCAAGTGAACATAGAGAAGACGAAGGTGATGAAAAATGCCAACCAACCACAACAACCACCAAACACTGCCAACGAGAGGAATTTTAAAGAGTTTACTTCCTTCAATAATCTAGATAGCATCATTTCAACCACAGGCAGTTGACTAGGATGAGAATGTCAAAACCAACCGGATTCGAAAAGGTAAGTCAGAACTTCATCAACCTGAAATCAGTTTGAAAATCTTCTGCACTTGACGAGAGGGATAAGATTCGCATTTTCCACTAGAATGTCAAGTTAGTGTTTATATAAAGCCCAGAAACTAGGCGCTGACTTCATGAAAGGAATTTTCAACAGGCTACTGCAGACTTTCATCAATAGATTCATCCTTCGCTGACATCCTACTGAGGTTCATATGGCCAGAAAGAAATAGAAACGAAAAACTATGGGAACAAACTAACTAAGAACCTATCATTCAACAAATATAAAGGAGAAAATGAAAATGAATTGACTACACGTCGAGGAGACCGTCAAATGACATCGCGTACAATGCACGCTATCACTCGACTGGAGCCTGAATGAGAAACGGCGAGTGGAGGGTAACATGAAGGAGATCTTGTAGTGAGGAGGAGATGAGAGATTTTGGGAAGTCACGATCCTAGCCAAATAGGATAGCAGAAAATAGAACAAAGTGGAAAAGTGTTGTTGAAGCTTTATTTTCCGCTCAGAACTCAAAGGAACAATATATATATAATTAAAAACTACATATATATATAATCAAGTATCGATTTTGTAGGGATTTTGTTTGATTGGTTAGAGAATTTCATTATAAGCTGACATTGGTTAGAGAACCATTCGAAAGCCTGGGAGAACTGGACAGCCAGCTGTTTCGTCAGCCTAGTTTGGGACTCTTCAATATTACGCACATAGCATCAGAGTCCGGATCCAAAACCTTCTGGTTACAAGGCGAGCTAGCAGACCATTAAGCCACTGGGACTCGGTCTAATTGCTAGTCCAAGAATTCTAAATTCCGCTATGTCACGAATTGGCACAAGTTAGAATTCATGGGCTGGCAATTAGACCGGGTCCCAGTGGCTTAATGGTCTGCTAGTTCGCCTTGTAACCAGAAGGTCCTGGGTCTGGACTCTGATGCTATGTGCGTAATATTGAAGAGTCCCAAACTAGGCTGACGAAACAGCTGGCTGTCCAGTTCTCCCAGGCTTTCGAATGGTTCTCTAACCAATGTCAGCTTATAATGAAATCCTCTAACCAATCAAACAAAATCCCTTCAAAACCAATACTTGAAAAAGAAAGAGATAAGCAAACATCGGGACCATGATAAGGGAAAGAATTTCGCTACTACAAAGTTAGTTGAAGTCTTCAAATAAGTATCAAAACGTTGAATGTAGGTTGTTTACAGAGAGACTTTCAGATCGATTATTCCCCTGAAATATTCACCTCGGGAAGTAGGATTTTTGATGAATTTTATAAAGATTACATGCTGTGCGATACGTCAGGTGGTGTGATAGATTGTTTGTACATCATAAACTTGAATGCACTCAAGCACATGTTATGCACAAATCTATCTCCGACAGTTGTTATAATTTAATCACCTCCTTCACTTATGCTGGCAGTATCTTTTCAACTATAGGCGTCAGCATGGATAGGAGGTGTAAAAACCAGAATCAGAAAGGTGAGACAGAACTCCATCACTCTGAAATCAGTTTGGAAATCTTCTTCAGTCTTCCGTGTGTATCTACCAGTTTAATCGATCCTGTGGAGCCAGTTACATAGGCCGCACAATTAGGCGTGTTTCTCGTCGGATTTCCGAACATCACCCTGCATAGTGATTAACTAAAGAACAAACAAAATCTACTCGTAGCACTATTTTATCTCATATTCTGGATACAGAACACAAGATTGACGTTAACCATGCTTTCAGGGTCATTTACCACATACCAACAAATCCTAACTTTGCCTTAAGAGTTCGTTTACTATATAGTGCTGAGGTCGGTGGGATCCGCATTAAGAAGCCTAATTTATGTGTCCGAAAGAAGTTAGTTCAGACATTATCCTTACTCTGGCCGCCTAGGTTTGAATGATCCTTAGTTTTTTGTGGAAATTACCTTAATTTTAGCTGATATTCTATTTGCTATTGAATTTTGATTATTATTGTTATAATTTATGCATCTTTAGCGAACTGTAATTCAAATAATCCCACTTAACAAATATATATTATTTAAAAAACACCAATATCGTTATTGACTAATATTCTAGAATATTCTATGTATATAAACATATATATATATGTAATTGTAAAGCCAGAAGCGGAAATTATCGAAAAGGACGTTCTTCGCTCAATTATATTGTTTTTCATAGATGTCTGAACGAATATTCTCGCTATCTAAAAATGAGGATTTTTAACACAAAGTTAAGTCAGTGTTTCTATACGATTCATAAATGTGGCGTTGGCGTCACGAAAATCATTTTTAACAGCCTCCTTCAGAATTTCATTAACAATTGTCTTCTCTGGCCCCACGTTGACGATTAAATGATCAGCCAGAAAGACTTTGGGAATGAACTAACCAAGGACCTATCACCCAAGAAATATGCCGAAGAAAATGGAGATGGATGGGGCACACACTGAGAAAACCTCTAAGTGACATCACGTGTCAGGCCGTCAAGTGGCCACCAGTTTGAATAGGAAAAGTTAAGTGTTGGCCCGATGGTAATATGGAGGAGATTGTATGAGGAGAAGGTGAATGCTTATGGGTAACCACTGGGTCACTTGAACAGGACTACAGTCGAGACAGTGAAATACAGACGTGCTATTAAAACCCTCTTTTCCGCTAGGAACACATGAGAATAATTATAATAGTATGATAATCTTTTCTGATATCATGGTATATTTATCTCTTGTATTACTTTTCAGACTGGGCGTTAGATATGATAGAGAAGATTTGTAGCTCAGGTGGATGATTATGATGTGGTTGTGTTCTATGAACTGGGTAGTTAATTTGCGAAGCTTTCACTGTCCTACTAGGCGACATCTTCAGCACATACTGCAATTTGAAGTGAGCTTTTAGATTTCTCCACGAGTTTACTAATCATCTCTCCTGGTGACCCTGGACGTGATTGGTTGTTTTTGTGTGTTTCCACACCTTCTAGGTTACTTGTATTGTAACTCATTGTTTCTTTGACTTGAACTTTGACCCTTTTTGTGTTAGGTTTCTTTCTTATCAATTGATAAATTTTGTCAATCTCGATGTGTCTACCGATTGATGATTCACTGGAATACCAAGCTTCTAAAAATTCTCTAGCATTCTTGTTGTTTCCACTGTCTAATATTTGAACCTTGTTTGTCCCAGTCGAATTGATGTCCGTGGTTGTCTGTATGTAGTGATATGAGCGAGGGAGTGGACGTCATGTCTTTTGCCGGCTAGCTTATGTTCGTGGATACAAAGACGATGGGGACGTCCACTTTGACCAATGTAGTGTTTTTCGCAGTTGATACAATCTATTTTGTAGATGATGTTGGTTTTAGCTTCCTTCGCTGTTGAGTCTTTTGGTTGAGATAGAATTGAGTGAAGTGACTTTGTTGGTTTGTGTACGACGTCAATTCCTTAAGGTTTGAAGAGTCTTTTAGTGATTTCTGAGATATCCTTTATATATGGTAAGGTGATTTTCTTTGCGCTTTCCTTGGCGGCTTTTAGTTTGATAACATGGCTCGGGGGTACATGTCTTTTGATGAAATTCCTTGAATATCCATTCTTTTTGAAGACGTCCATGAGAAACCTTTCTTCAATTTTCCATAAGATGGGAGTGATGCAATTAGTCCTGGCCCTCTTGAAAAGTGTTTGCATGCAATTCCTCTTGTGTGCTATTGGATTGTTGCTGTTGTAACATCATCTACAAAATGAATTGTATCAACTGCGAAAAACACTACATTGGTGAAAGTGGACGTCCCCATCGTCTTTGTATCCACGAACATAAGCTAGCCGGCAAAAGACATGACGTCCACTCCCTCGCTCATATCACTACATACAGACAACCACGGACATCAATTCGACTGGGACAAACAAGGTTCAAATATTAGACAGTGGAAACAACAAGAATGCTAGAGAATTTTTAGAAGCTTGGTATTCCAGTGAATCATCAATCGGTAGACACATCGAGATTGACAAAATTTATCAATTGATAAGAAAGAAACCTAACACAAAAAGGGTCAAAGTTCAAGTCAAAGAAACAATGAGTTACAATACAAGTAACCTAGAAGGTGTGGAAACACACAAAAACAACCAATCACGTCCAGGGTCACCAGGAGAGATGATTAGTAAACTCGTGGAGAAATCTAAAAGCTCACTTCAAATTGCAGTATGTGCTGAAGATGTCGCCTAGTAGGACAGTGAAAGCTTCGCAAATTAACTACCCAGTTCATAGAACACAACCACATCAGAAAAGACTGGACGTTGTATATAAGTTTGTTTTTTCTTATATTATATTTGCATAATGATAATCAGTAAAAGGATAATCGTCTGATAGGCAGTAAATTCAGTAGTACAGTTCAGGTATGTCGCCAGCTGTAAAAGCATCTGTAAACATATTAGGCGTCGGTGGGTAGTAAACATCGTCCATACTTCATACTTAGAATTGTTGCTACAAGTCTTAAGAAAACAATAAACAGACTAGCCAGACGACGTCTTCTTTTATGATTTTACTTTGATACAGTTGTTAATGTTGTTATAGAGAAATGGCATGTAATTTACTTTTATGAACATGACCAATGCCTTCTAACATATGATACAGCCATAGTCTTATCTCCAAACTTGAAAAGAGGAAGTTTAAGCCCTGAGAAAAAGAGAATAACATTGATCTATCTTACTTCGTGGGTTTTCTCTTCAACTGGTTAAAACCTGTAATATTTAATACAATGAGTTTAAAGTACAATTTTCACACAATTAATTTCATCAATGAGAATCGATCCTCCAGTAATGACCAGTGCGAAATCGTCAAGGCAAAGTAAAACATGAGAGTGTTAAACCGTCATGAGGTTTTTCATGGGAATTATTATAATTTTTCATGTAAAAGACATGGGAAGAGACAGAATAAATCAAAAAAACTAAAAGTTATAAACTTACTAAGACTAGTGAGCAATATTCCTCATATACATGAATCCCCCTTTATCTGGATTTGAACAGAGGTAGAACAAACACTGAGGCAAAATAAAATGGACTTTTGTATTTCGTTGGTTCTCACCAGCTGCGTACAACTTATAATATTTAATAAAACAAGTTGTAACACAATTTTAAAATACGCTTCTTTTAATCTTTTTACGAGTTGATCATGGATTGATATCAGTTAGAGAACGATTGAAAACCAGCCACAGGGAGTACTGGACAGCTGTTTCATCTGCCTAGTTTGGGAATCATCATCAGTACGCACCCACTGACGTTAGAACCCAGGACCTTCCGGTTACAAGGCAAGCTGGGTGGTATACCATTCAGCCACTGATACACGATTAAATGACTTACTCATGAATTGCAGCATCCATCAATTCGTGACTTAGCATGGCCACAACCAATGTCGTCAATCCGTGATCAACGCGTTAAGACAAAACTAATCCTCACAAACCAACTATAGAAACCGTTTTTATCATCATGGGTCAATCCTGCAGTTAGGATTTTTCTTGAAAAGCACAGCACTGACCATGACGTCTCCAACAGGATGAATAGCTGAAGCCGTTATACAAAAACTAAAATTAATAGCCCTACCTATAATTAAACCAAAAATCTGGGTACCTTATGCTGATGACACATTTCTAATAATTAAAAGAAATGATTTGGAATATACGTATTAATTAATAAACAACATATTTGAGGGCACTAAATTCACAAGAGAAGATAAATTAAACAAAAGTTTCCATTCTTAGATGTCTTAATCAAGAGAACTACTACGAGAAATTTAGAGACACAGGTATATAGAAAATCAAAGCACACAGACCAAGTGCCCAACTGCACTAGTAACAACGCAATTGCACACAGAAGAAACTGTATGCACACACTGTCTGAAAGAGTTCAGCCTCACTGTAGCGCTACTCCTGTGTTGAAGACAATGAAGGAGAAATACCTAATCACCGTCTTCACAGTTTCATCAAAAAGTGTTTAAACTCGAGTCATAACACCAACAACAAGCCAACATCAAAGACCACACGAAAATTTATCCTTCCATACCATACCACATACCGTAGTATAATTATCTCTGAGATATCAGCCAGCCAGTACAATCACTTCATTCAGTATTGTGCGAACCGAAAGATCCAACAGGAAAAGAAGCTGAAATTAATACCATTTAAAAAATAAATAGTATGAACTGTAACAGACATCGCATCGGTCCAAGTGGGCGTCCACATTTCGAATCCAAATCCGCGAACACAAATTGGCTGTAAAAGAACATGAAATATATCCTTTCGTATCAGTGTGTGTTGATAATTATGGACACCAATTAGATGATTGGGATAATGTAGAAATTTTAAATAGAGGAAACATCGAAAATTCAGTCAGGAAATTCCTATAAGCCTGATAACTACGTGAATCAGCAACTAACAAACACACTACTACAGACCGAATTTGCCAGCTAATAAAAAGTAGATCACGTGATAAGTAATTTCGAATTCTAAGGCAATAAAAAGGGACAGTAGAGAAGTAAATTAACAGCGAGTCATGAATAGCTCAGTGTTAACTTCTCTGACTGCACCATCGGGTGACGCGGCGTTCGAATATCAGATGGGACATCAGTTCCTTCAAGGTCGCAGATACACCTTACTGACTGGTGAATGCCAACTAGCACGAAATCTAGGTTCGAGGTTTCCTGCTGATAGTCCCGACCATCTTATACCATCGAGTCACGATACTGTCTGTCAGGAGATACAGTTACATCATTTATGGAAAATTTAAGTGAGCTGATTTTATACAAAAAAGCTGAACTGAAGCTGTTGTTTAGAAGGACTACGAAGGTTTCACAGTTAAGTCAACAATGTTCTCAGAGAACACGACTAATTCAATATCATCCACATGAGCTTGAAATATTCTCCATTATTTCAAAAGCTGTTCTCTCTACTTCGAATGTTTCTCTGATTGGCATCTCCAGAAATCAAAAAGTATCCCTGATATGTTGCCACCAACTGTGTGTAGCTATCAGAGAAGTTACATAGAAAGAACAAAAAGAATGGCCTATGTCAGATGCTTTCAACATGTACCGAGCAGACTTCAATTAAAGCCGCCGACTCGTTTGATCCTGTCGATTAACAAACATCTGATACATATAGGTCAGTGTGTGGATGCATTGGGAGCATTAAGAATAATTTACAGGCACCACATCTTAAGACCTCTTTGGTTTACTGAAGTATCCACTAAAAACTGACTTGAGTCAGACCATTGTGCTCAGACGTGGTACTTTGTGAGACTTCACTTACCCTGGCAGGTTTCTACTAAGCAACCTTTTCTCTTTTGATTTCATAACTGTGTTACTCCAACTCAGTTTTCTCTCAACTTTCATATTGGACTTGATTTTTAATACTTTGAATTCTACTCACTGTATTGCACTACTATCTTTATATTTGATTTCGTACACTCCAAATTTTGATCTTACAATTTTATGTTTTCGAATCACTGGTCACACAATTATCACTGACACTTTTGTCATTCCAAAAACACAATTATTAATTATTTTGTGGTACAGTTTGCTCCTATAATGTATACAAATATACTTTTTTTTTTTTTTTTTTTTTTTTTTTTTGATTTACAGCTTGGTTTAAGATGACTGTATTATCCTTACGTTTTGTTTTACTATGACTCTCCAAATCAATCCTTATTGGAGGACTGGTTCACTCTGACAAACCAAATACATGTTGAAAAAATTATATTATGACTCGTTTTATTAAATATCATAGGTTGCACGCAGATGATGAGAAGTGACGAAACAAAATAGATCCGTATTATTTGTCGTCGGTATTTGTTCTATCTCTGTTCAAACCCAGAAATGTGTACTGTACAACGTGATGAGAAATTAAGTGAGTAAAAGACTGTCAGCACGTGGATGGGAACAGAGGAAAGATGCCATTACCTAAGAAATGCATTTCATCACTTGACCCAAACTTCCTAATTGCAAATAAAAGTAACTGACATTTAATTTCAGCTAATCATTTCACAGATTCATCATGAAATGGTCTTTTAACAAGCACTTCAAGCTGCAGTCACTTGTAGCTGGTGATAGTAAATGTGAATTGTAGGCTGAATGTTCACTTTGAGTATTTCAATATCCTGTCTGACGTTATTCCAAACTAAGTAATCATTTTTATAAAGTCCCAGTATTTTGCTTCTTGACTAGCTGTGTTCTACATTTCTGGTTAGAAACTTTCAAGATGTTTGACTGTAGATCTAATATTCTATCCTTGTAAAATTGTGGCTAAAATCTTCTGAGTCCTTCTCAGAATACTCGCCACGGATGACATCCTCTATTGGTCGCGTCACAACATGAATTGACAGAAGTTGGAATTCATGGACCACCCACTGGATGGAGTACCAGTGCCTTAAAGACCAATGAGCTCGCCTTGTAACCAGAAAGTCCCGGGTTCAAGACAAGGTGGCAGTTGCGTACTGATGAAGAGTCCTGAACTAGGAAGGAACAACTTTCCAGTACCCCTACGTATTGCAATGGTTCTCTAACCAATGTCTGTTCGACATGAAATCCTGAAACAAATTTTATTCTGACTGTTATCTCTCCCGAAATAAAAGAAGTTTTTTCACATCATCTAAACCGCCTTTGTATCTACTGGTTCCGCTAAATTCAGTAGGAAAGCAAATTTTCCCTTCAATGTGCAACAGTTACTTCTCCCATTGAGGAGTCTGAATATAAATGAGGCCCTCCATCAGAAGACCAACAAAAGAGATAAAGGAATATCGGAAACTTTTTCTCCACCTACACCGAAGTGTGTAAATCACAAAGGAATTCGAAAAAAATAAACAGACAAAAGCGCTCGACACTTAACTACTCCTGTCTTATATTAGCTTTGATTATTAGTTTTTTTGGATATATATATATATATAGTACAACAAAAAATAAATGCATATAAAACATCAAAGACACGACTTCATCAAAATCATTTAACCTTAAAGCTTAGTTATATAAATATACACAATGCAAAAATAGATGCAGATTATTACGGTAGATGAACTTAAATAGGCAGTGGGGAAAATAAAAAAATTTTCTTTTTAGAATTACAAAAGCTATTTCAGGAATGTAGTCTATTTTTGGATATTTTGAGCGCAATAGCCAGAGAAGCAGATCATTTATAATTATTATTATTATTGACGTTGGAAACGCCTTGAAGGGAAATAATGTCTAGTTGAGTAAGTCTTACAAAGTGTAGTGTAAGTGCAAGTTAGGGCTTCAGGGTGTATCCCTAAATAGCGTCAGAAGCAAACAGAATCCTCAGAACCCATTAATGGTGAGAAAAGGACACCTAGCTACTCTATTGCAAAGCATACTATGCAGACAGGACAAAAAATTGATGCTTACACGTCTTTTAAATATATTTATAGAACGCTTTTGAAGCGTATCTTAAAGTCTGTGGAAGCCCTAGCTGGTAATTATTTTTATTCCTTGGGGTTCCAAATGAAACATAGGATTTCAACAAAAACATCTCGATTTTGTCTTATCTTCTGTCGTCCTCTTCAACTTGGACTACGATTACCCACAATCTCTCATCTCCTCCTTGCCCCATGATCTCCTCCATGTCACCCTCTCACCGACGACCAACTCATCGCTTCTCATTAGGATGCCACTCGATTGATCGCCGGGACTGCACGCGATGTCATTTGAAGGTTTCCCCAATGTTTGCCCGATCCATCTCCATTTTCTCCTACATATTTATTGAGCGATCGGCTTTTGGTTGATTTGATCTATTGCAGAGTTTCTTGTCGCGAATTCTTTCTGGCTGGCCGGTCAGCCATTTGATCTTCAGTATGGTGCCGGTGAAGTGGGCAGCTGTTGGTGAAAGTTTGCAGCTGCCTATTTGAAATCCTTTTCGTGACACGCCAAGTTTCTGACAATTAGCAACAATTTGTCATCACACTAAACCTTCCTTGATAAAATCTGTTTTGATACCAGTCAGCGTAGATGTATTATTATCTCTGTTATTTGTTTTAGTGATCTGCATAGTTATTTTGACCTTCAATGTTTCCTTTTAACTTAATCTAAGTCTGTTTTCTCACCTCGTAGTTTTTTACTTATTTCATGTATATGATAAGTCCGTGTGTGATCAGATTGTTCGAAATATGTGTTGCGCGAATACATTACACGATTCAGTCATTAATTATGAAAAAAATCTTCATTCTGTAGTGTATTTCTTATGTTTTCTAAATATTCAGTTAAAATGAACGCTTCATAATTTTTGAGTAGAATATTTTTCTCTGGTTCTTGTATCGGTTCACGCTCAATTCTATCAGTCAATTTGCACTTTGGTCACCATACTAGGTGACTTGCTATTGTGTTTAATACTGAATAGGTGTTAGATGATTGGAGGAAGCGGACATGAAGCGCAAGACCTAGGTTTTGAGCTTGTTGGCGCTCATCAGGAAAGCGTTTCTGCAATCTTCAAAGAACTCATGTCACTTCTAGGATTAGGACATCGGTGACTCAGTGATGCAGTCAGATACGTCTCCGCTGAGTTATTCGGGCTGGTGATTGGCTTCCTCTAGGAGAGTAATGGATGCTTTATTTTAATTGAATTTTAGATTTTCCCGTCGATTGATTGGAACAAAATGCTCGGTCTTATATTGACATGGCAGCTTCTTGTGCAGATGCCTCGACGATGTCTGAGCATGTAATTAGAAGTTAATTTGTGGATGGTGACTAGCAGTGGAATCCAGGTTTTTCATTTCTTCCTATTTGGGGCTCGTCATCTGGATGTACCTGCATTTCCCAGTGACTGATGATGCTAAATTCTAATTAAATTCCCAGACATCAACGAAGCATCCGAGCATAAGAAGCCGGCATGTCAACTTGAGACCGAACACTTCGGTCCAATCAATCGACGGGAAAACCTAAGATCCAATTAGATGAATATGACCTGTCGCACAACAGGTAGCTCTCGCGGCCCAAGTGGTCTAGTGGATAAAGCTTTGGCATTTAAAACTATGGGCACTGGGTTTGAGCCTCGGTGGGAACATCATCACTCACTGGGGAATGCAGGCACGTCCAGATGACGAGTCCCAAATAGGACGAAGTGCGCATCCTGAATTCCACTGCTAGTCACCATCCATCGATTAAATTCTAATGGATACTTTGTTTGGTTGCTGAGTAGTAATCAGTGTGTTGATGTTATTGTAAACTTAATTAGTAGAATCTCCCTAATATGAACTGGTAATTTAAAGAAGACTCATACACACTAGTAAGAGGTACTGTAATTACAATATATAGTTTTACAATAGTATCAGAGAAAGTATCACATATCACACAGTGGTGCAGTATTAACAACCGGATGACGTTTCGAGCATATATTATTGATCATAATCATATATATTCAGTC